TAATAATGGATAGTGGCTGGCAGTGGACATTTCATCCTATTTAGGACTCGTCAGCTGCTAGCTGTTATCCATCACTGCTATAATTAGAACAGGTAATATCGAGGCATCTACACAGGAGCCCATATGCCAATACAGACCGATCAATTCGATTCACTCAACAACGGTACAATACAATCAATTATAGTATCATAATCATCACCATTTATTGATATACTTATAGTTCTCCCTTGTTTTACTGGATCGAATTGTTTGACCTTCATTGGCATATGGGCTCTTATGCAGATGCCTGAGTATTGCTTGAATACTAATTATGATAATTTACTCGGTTGTGGCTAGCAGAAGAATCCAGGACGCACGTTTTGGCCCATTTGCGACTCAGCTGGATGTACCTGGACTCCAGTGAGTCATGTTGTTCCCATTGACACTCGAACCTGGTACGCACGTCCAGGATTCATCTGCTAGCCACAACCGAGTAAAATATCACAATTGGTTGGTGTTCTGAAAGCCTTAGGGCGTGTTTTTGGACGTTTCATCACCAGACTATGCAGTTAGATCAGCATTTCGTGGCAATGGTGTAGTAGCGATAGAAAATGTTATCCGTTGAAGTGTGTTCAAACATGGCAAACATAGTTATTCAGTTGATGAAGTTTATCCTAAGTATCTGCTTTGGTAGTTTTGACACTACTTGCTCATCTCGTCTCAGAGGTTTCCATACTCGCCAGTGAAATAGGATTTGTACCCAGTCTATGAAGTGGTATGGAGATAGAGTACATTACATTAAATCGACTCTGACCAGTCAATCAAGAGGATAACCACTCTTGGGTCCCGTGTGCGTATCTCACAAACATAGCGTGCATCCATGGCTGACTTGTAGGAGGATGTGAACAGTGAAAGCTCCAATGTGTAATTTGCAATGCGGTCTCAGGAGAACAGGGTTGCTGTTCTGTGAACTTAGATAGTTGTCGAGGGCTGCAGAGCTGGGAGAAACTAAAGATGATATCCAATAATTGACTGAGAAACACGAAGGGAGACTAGAAGGCGAGGATGCGCAAGGTGGACAGTGATCTGATGGAGCCTGAATGCTGACAGACTTGTGAGGGTAGTTGACACTTCAATACTGCCCAGACCGTGGAAGCCCAGGTCTTTCTGAGGTATCCGAAAAGAAGGATTATTGTGTGACCACAGAGCCCAAGGGACATCTGCTTTAGGTTGGTCACATATGGCCTTCTTGCAAGTTTGCTATTTTGGTTTTATGCTTTTGAGTCCGACTATGAATCCCTGTCGTAGGGCATCGGCATGCTGAGGGGTGACGGCAATATACTATTTTGGGGGCCAACCCCTTCCTTCCTGCAGGAAAGGCAGTATAAGCTTGGCACTGCTGGTCATCGAGGGAGATACCTTACTGTTGTCTCACCGCAGTTCAGCCAGCAGTACAACTTCGCCCTCAGACTCCCATCACAGAGTAGCAAGTTTTACCCCAATAGTAACTTTTTTTGTCTAACCACTAACAGACCTATCCGGTATGGTAGGACGTCGGGGGAACAGGAGTCCCGTCAGCAAAGGTGGCTGGATCATTGTGACATATAAGCCCGACCATCACGTCAAGGTAGCAGCTGTCCGTTGGGACTGATTCTGTCACTCCATAACTTGATAAACTGCAGCAATGAAAGGTTTAAGCTCCGTACAACTGACCAGTTTATGAATAAACAACAAAATCTTCTGAAAACTTGGGTAAGTAACAACTAAAATGTAGATATCATCTAAATGGGATCCGCTCTGGATACCTATACAATTCTCTAATAATAATAGACCGGTCACTAGTTTTAAACGTTCTAAACACTGGCACTAAAACTATCTTAGATGATTATGTTCTAGTGGAGTGTTGTTGTTGCTGCTAGGTGATGACCGGAAACCTCCGTACTATTCACACTAGTAGTCTCCAAGTTACTGGTTCGATGTTTTGCCAAGTGAGTAGCGAAAGACTCTGCTGCTGATACGATCCTAATTTCACTTCGATCACTGAAGATCTTACCAGATGAAATGTGAACCAATGAAAAGCAACTGTCCGTTTACTGTAACTGCACTAGCTACTCAAACAGATCTTCTCATCGCAATCTAAACTGAGATGAATCAGAGGGGCAGTATTGTATTGCTTACTAATCAGACAGTCTAAGGCAGCTGTTTTTTGGCAGACTGATATTATTGAGTGAACGAAGGTTAAATAAGAACTACGATCATGGCAGAATTCTAATCGATCTAATCCTGAAATTCAAAATACACCGATGAAATTATATGTGTACAGTTGAACGGTGAGTTAGACATCTGAGGGTGACATGGAGATCATGTGAGGAAGAGATGAAAGCTTCTGGGCAGTCGTAGAGCAAGGTTCAAAAGACCGAAAAGAACAGAGTACACTGGCAACGTGCTACTGAAGCCCTATGTTCCATCAGGAACCCAAGGGACAATTAATAATAAAATACAGCTGAACGGTGGTGTGATTTGTGAATGATAGGTCGTTATGTTATTCGATAGAGCCCCAAACCTCAGTAACATGCCAATTTAAAAGTGAGGAAAGAGAGAAGGAAGTAAATACAGAGATTTTGAGATAAAATGAATAGAAAGATACTAGGTCATTTTCCCACAGGACATTAACAAAGTGGCTGTAGGAATAGGGGGAACTTGTAGGCAAAAACCTTAGTTAATACTGACGTAGCATTGTATGAAGAATCGTAAATGAAAAACTTATAACCAGATAGATAACCAAAACAATGTAAATAGAATTATTAGACGGAATTTGCATCCTAGATCGTAGGTGGAGTGATTTCATTGTTAGTGGTTGTGCTGAGGATTTCGACGAAATGCATACCTATATTTTGTAGTGACCAAAGGCATCGGGGAAGAATATCAATTCAGCAGTCCGTTTCATTCATCTACATGACGTTCGGCAGTGTCGACACTAAGGATTGATTCAGCAACAACGATATTTAATATGACTAGAGGAAATCGACAGGAAGACCAGCTTCACCGAGGCTTCGTGTTTGTTACCACTAGCCAGTAATACGAAACTACATTCAAGAGCTAACTTCTTTCTTTTCAGGAATTCCAACACGCATCACTTGGTGCTGCGGTTAGAGATAGACCTTTTCATCGAGTTATTCGAACTGCAATTCACTTATTGTAGAATTTGATCAGCAGTTAGGAAATTTATGACAAAGTTGGTTACTGTCTAATGATCAGTCATTACAATTTCTTATAGGATGAAGCTACTCGTGTTCAGCCTACGTGTGTATCCACCCGCTTTATGGTGTAGAACTTAACATAAAAATTGCGCATTCATTTAGAAAACAACGACTGTTCCTCTTAAATGTGAATTCAAGCCGCGATCTGTGAATAAGACAAGCATGAACATCACAATTACTACGTGTCATGCTATGAGTAAAATCCAGTCTCATAACTCCAAACTGTAATCAGTTGCTAAGCCATCCTTTCCTGTCGAAAAAAAAACCGGAATAAAAACACTAAATTTATACTTGTGAACGAAACCCTTTTGGAGTATCTCATCAGAGGCACAAAATAGGTTCCATCTCAGGGCAACATCATCTAAAGAGAATTGTTGAAAAGACAGACAGAAGAAACCAACATGGAACTACACTCCGAAGTTCATCCATTCGAGTTGCCACGTTTCAAAGCAGTAAAGAAATAACAAGTGGATAGAAAAAGACCGATATGAATCGAAGTAAATGAAGGTCTACGGCAGGACAAGGAAGTTGAAAATCAAGGTTAGTGAAAATATGTAAGCCTAAAGAAACGTCAGAGAGTGAATACATCTACGCTTCTGTGACGAGTTTTCAGGCATATTACTAACAGTCTGCTACCACTGATTACTGTTGTATCAGGGATCCAAACCAGAAAGTCTAAGACGCCCCAAACGGCTAAGACACTTCATAGATTGATAAAACATCTTGGTCTGACCATTTTGAATGCTTCCAATATAGTCCAACTTCCGCCAACATTCCAAGTCAAACTGGATGGTGGTTCGATATGCACAACACGTGTCTAAGCCACCTCAGAGGATGCAGATTAACAACCACATCAATCGACTTGCCTAGTACCCTTCCCCTGACCTCAGCATTGCTCATGTGGTGATTCTACCAATTGCTAGCGATACTATGAAGACATCTTTGATCAAAACCCTTGTTATTGTTTGTTGTCTTCTACTTCTGACGGTCATGTCTCAGTTGTGTAATAGGACAGAGGCGAGGTTTACTCGTCCTTTGATAGATAGTCGGATATCTCGCCAGTCGAGGGCTACAGATGATTCAAGTTGAAAAATGCCAAACGGGCCCTTTGTATTCGACCTGAGGTTTAGTCGGGAACCAGCCCATTCGACCTGATACAACTCCGCAAGTGAAGTGGCTAACATATTCGTCTATCTCACTCCCTATTATTAAATTGGGGGTGATTTCAAACCAGCCTGTGGTGAATAGCAGCTTGATGCAGAAGAGTTTCACTGAGCTGACATAGTAACTAGGGAAATCTCTGTATACCGAAGAAGAATCTATGAAGCGAAGAAGGGATGTTGGCAGTAGTAATAGTAGTATTCAGGGAATGCTCGAGTACATCCAACCTAGAAGAAATAGGAAGTAATAATCCGCACACACACACACCATTTCACATCCATGGCCAGCACAGCCTGCCAACATTTCACTTGGTCTTCTTTCTCAGCTACTTTCCAAGAGAAAACATTGAGCAATGAGTAGTATTAGTTGTTTTTTTAATGAGGAAATTCGTTGACTCATGAAAACAAAATATGTACATAAATCTAATCTATGGAAAAAAATATTGTGAAAAATCACTAAAGAATGAAGTGGAATGAATGAATGAATTCAATGGTGCTTGTCCAACACTGTCTACATTGCGTAAAAGGCGTAAATCAACAGGCAAGCTAAGTTGAAAATATACAGAAAATTGGTTGTATTGGAGAACACTGTCAGACATCATCACCATGACGGTAAGGCAGTGGTGCTGGGGGTGGTTACTGTATCGTTGAAGGTGGGGGATAGAGAAGAATTGAAAACACGTTTCTCAGCACCCACACGTCGGAATGGTAAAAGCGGAATCGGTGGACATGGTGAGAAGAAATATCGACGATGACCTCCACCGCCACCACCTGTACGATTCAATGTTGAAGGTAGGCGCAGTTCAGTGAATCGTCGCCTTTTTCCCATTTTCCGTTTACTACAGTCAGCACGTGTATTCTGAAAGATGAAAGTTATTCAATAAGCGTGTATTAGAAGAAGATTGGTGAGATGTGCATAAATAGTGAAAATAAACTATCAGTAATCAACAAGCTAACAAAAAAATGACGCTACATAACTTTGTCTACCTCGTAGATGTGTACCGAGTTCCAAGACTGACTTACTGATTAAAAGTCGACTATGCTAGCTAATAAACAACCATAAGTACACATTTTTAACGGTGTTGTTTTTTTATAAAACAACATTCCTCACTCACCTATCCACTTCTTCATTTATATTAACTAATGGGGACAAATTGCATGTAAACTTACTTCAAGGTTCTCTTTTCCATGTTTACAACATCGTGAAGATGACAATAAATGTGTCGGTGAAACAGTTGATTTGCTTAAATCAACAGTTTGTAGTCGACAATTTCTTTCAATGTCCAATTTCAATTTTCCCGTATCATCACGGACACCTTCAATAATGCTCTGTTGTAATTTATCCGTTGAATATTGTAAGTAATCTAAAGAGATTTCATCCGCTGATCGATTCCATTTCGATCGCGGTGTTACATCTGTATAATTATGCAATAGAAAGTGTTTTGATGCGATTGACTGGGAATTGATATCATCATGTTTAACAGTAATACAGTGCTGTTGCTGATGATGCAATGTAGACGACCGTATTGGTGAGGTTAACAGACGAAAATTAGCAGCACTTGTCGGCGTTGGTGTAGCGAATCGTATTGCTGTACGTAATGGTGGAGAATCTTCTTCAAATCGATGATGATGGGGTGATGATATCAGTGGAACATCTTTCGACTTCATTAACTGCTTCTTTATCATGGCACGGGAATTTTGACAAGACTTCATTCTGCTGTTCAGATGATGGTGATGATTCGATTTACCAGTATCATAGTCGTCTGGAAGTGTTTTTTCAGGGGATAATACAAATGTTGTCATGTATGGACTGTTTGTACAAATATCTTGTACCAATGAGTACGGCAACAAGAATATATCCAGACCGGTTTCAATTAACAAACTTGTTATAGAACTCAACTGTAAGCATTTTTCGTGGCATTCCAAAGATGGATATCTTGGATTCTAAAAAGAGGAGTAGAAGACAAAAACAAACGAATTTATAACTTATAATGAAGCAGACAAAAGCAACACAACAGTAGTCACTATGGTGATCAGTTGCCGCGGCAACTGTATGGGAATAGAGGGCTCATGGATTTGGATAGCATGTGCCGTTGATGGGAATTGGATTAGTTCAGGACACTTTTGTAAAGTGTACACGTCTGGTTCATTCACAGTTCGACCGCCATCTTTCATGATGAGTTGATCTATTAGTAAACAGTATAAACTACACTATCTAGCTTGTAATCTCTTCCACACCAATCATAAATCTGAAAGTGTTTCGTTTTGAGAATTGGCACTAACGAGGCATGATAAGTCTTTGAAATACTCAACAAGACTTGAATCTTGTGATATGAATCAGAAGAAAACTACTGTTAGAGAAGTTTGTCTTTACTCATTGATCAGTTGGCTGCTCAACTACTACATCTCTTTCACGCTCCTTATTTATCAAAGCTGTTTGACATATATGGTCAGATTTAATCAGTTCTGTTCCTTTTCTATTTGGTTACGATTTTGGATTAATAAGTTAGGCCTAGATACAACTAAAAAACAAAGCGTTTGTACAGTGTATATACAATGAAGCTTCAATTTGTTTAGTGTGTGCATAGATGAGGTGTCTGGTTGACAAACGCATATACACACGCAAATGTTGAAACACAGCAGGAGATGAAGAATTCACTGTTACTCACTGTGCATTTGTTAAGTTGTAAACTTCCACTTTTTCAATTTACTGTGACACAGCAACATCGTGCCAAACGAATTGTCTTCTCAATACTATTATCATTAGTTGGAGAACCATTGAAAACGTGAGAGTGCTGGACAAGTGTTCGTCTTAGTATTGGACTGACTCCTTAGCAGTACGTACCTACAACTCCACCAGGAATGGAACCAAGGACTATCAGATTTCACGGCGAACGCATTTACCATTTAGCTGTGGGGCCAGGATTTGATGATCCACAGCTTCCTGCTTCTGTCGATTAGCAGACTATATAGCGCAACTATCATCCAGGGTCTTCAGTTGGCATCCGCTTCACTTCCGATTGTTAGACCTCACAGGTGCGTACTGCTCAGAAGTCCCACATTAAGATAAAACAGCTTGTCCGGTGCTCCCAGGTTTTCAAAAGCTCGCCAAATGATGTCAGTCCGTGATGAGTACTACGTTAAAAATGAAATCCCCGCTATTCACCTACATACAGCCCGCTGTCATACACGTTAGGTGTGATTGACTGCCTATAGCTCAAGTATACACAAGGTGGCAGAAAGATGGATTTCACATATTTCGAATTTTCTCCCTTGACATGTTGATTTCAATGGGAATGTTGGTAAAGAGAGATGGCTGCATACTTGGCACTACTTCACACTGGAGTCAACAAGGTTAGTCACATCTGGCATAATATATTTCAACGACACAGTGTGTATATGATTTCAGTTAATGAAATATCAATTTAACTCACCTTTAAACTTCGCATTGTTTCATGCAGAATACCTTGTGGCAGTAACACTGGACCGAATACAGTACCGAGACAGGTGGTTGTCATACGATTTTTCACGCATAAATCTTTCACACGAATTAACAATTGAAGTAAGCGTTTCAACACTAACAGATTTGTACTTGGAAGCAGTTGGATGAGTAATCGGAGAGCTTTAATCTGCTTACTCTCGATCAAGTGGATTAAATACTTTTCATTGACTGATTTGTCCACTCCTGCTGCTGCTGTTACCCCCGATGATGACGTTGATAGTGAAGCGCTGGTAGCAGCTCCTCCTGTTGACGCTTCTGCAGACGACACTGCTGCTGGCATTCGATATTGTGTTGTTAAATCGGTGTGTTCATGATTATTGAGGTTTTTAAATTTTCTTAAGCCTAAATAAACATTAAGACAAAATATAAATAACATTAAAGTCGTTGCATATTGGAAAAACGAACAAGTAAAGAATCAAAGGACTGTTTACAGTGATCATGTAAATGTCAATTGTACAAATTATATTCGTAGATCAGCTTGTATCTCACACTGTCAATCTTAGAATGTCCATGACAATGGAATAACGCGTTATGCACATAACAAGTCACCTGCTTCGACCTAAACAAACCATCATCCTAGTGTACAAACCTGTGACAAGTGAAGTTGCATCGCATACTGTCTGACTACAAGCACACAGACATATGCTGAAAGGCTGTTTAGCTGAAACCCCCTGATATCCAAACCGATCGATCACATCAACCGCTAGAGGTTAAGTGCACTGGATTTCCAGTCATAATCATGTATAAAGCGTGATGCCAAACTTAATTCATTGTGTAACGTTACAACCTATCAATCATTTAAGAGTTTCACTCATGTGAGGCCAAAGGGGGAGGGTATAAAAACCAATCATTGATTGACTGACAAAGTCAAAGTAGAAGCTCTCACACAAGTGCATCAGTTCTAGTTGCCACACTTTACAGTAGATGATAGAAAAAAGTTATATCAAAGTAGGCAAAGTTGTGTGAGAGAATAAGCAATCAGAAGAGAAAGGTTAGCGCGAATATTCAAGTGTCAGAGATGAAAGAGTGAATAAATGTGCACCATTGTGACCGGTTTCCAGCCATATCTCCAAGATTTCTCAGTCACTGATTCTTTTCATCTCGGGGGATCCTAACCAATCAGTCTGCATCTCCGCACATGGCTCAGATCAGTAGTTAGAGACTTCATTGACAGGTATCAGGTCTTGATCTCACCACCCAACGCAGAGGAAGGCGGTCGTTCGGCATGCGAAACATATGTCCAAGCCACCTTAGTCTATGAAGGTTTACAACCTCATCAATTGACTTGCCTACCTGTCCTTTCGCCTTTCGCCTGATCTCTAGATTGCTCACATAGTAATTCCACCAAACGCCAGCAATGCTATAACAACACATACATGGTAGAATATCACTGGATCAAATGAATCATGGACGGGCTTTTTATCTAAAATATGTTTGATTAATAAGTTTCACGAACATACAAAAGATTTGGTGCCTTGTAAAAACTTCCAACGTGAAGTTTTATCCCATATTTTCTAGAATATCATTGATCTTTTCAAGGCTACTACGTATCATCTCTGATCTAATCGAAACAATCAAGCATACCCCAGCACCACCCAACTACTAGTATAGTGTTCCAACCTATCCATGTAAACACAAGTAGTAACGTATCAGTCGGGCAAAACCCTTGATGACTGAAGCGTAATAAAAATCTGGTCAGCAGTTGAGTCTTGTAGTTCAGTCTATAAAGCGCCAGACCGGAAACCCCTGGTGGTCACTGTTTCAAATCCTATCGCAGACCACAGTTTCATTTCACCTTTAATCATCATCCAGCATATGAAGAATTTTCAGTCAGATATTTTGTTTTCATAAATAAACCAAGAAAATATTCGCTATGATTAAGAATAAATGGGGTTGATTTATGCAGAAAAAGATGACTGGCTCTACAATTCACTAGAAGTATATCTTATTCAGATAGGACCACCCACCCACGCACCCAAACAATCCCTCTGCTTTAAAAAAAAACAACCTGACACTAAATCTATCAGAAGAGCAGAGTTTTTCTCTTGAATATGATTTCAACCTGTTTATCACATCGTATATACATTATCTTAAGATGATACGATAACCTGAAGTGATTGCAGAAGTGACTATGTAACCTTTAACGATATGTATATACATATATTAGTCAATAAAATAAACAACTTGGAGTTCCATTTTCGTTTACACCATCTTGTAATTTACTGATACTGAGTGATGGTTGAAAGGTGAGATGAAGATCTTAGTCGTGGTAGGATTCAAACAAGCGGCTCCGAAGTTGCCAGCCGAATGCTCTACCAACTCAGCTTAAATATGACAAGACAACATGAGTGTAATCGCGAATATTATTTCACTTCTAATAATAAATAGTTGGCTCACGGTTGTACGCGAAGGTGATGATAGAATCCACCTTTCCTTACAACCTCTACCCAAGTATGTAAAACATAAGAAACAGACAGGTGACGAACCCTCGTCTACCCAGTAATAGACCACTTACATCCAAGTAATTCTACTTCCTGCGACAATTCACTTTCGATATACAGTTAAGTTAGTTACAATAAAGGTTATCTAAACAAATTATTTACCCCATAAAAAACTGTCTTCCCAACAAAAATACCACAACCTGATTGGTTGTTTGGTTATTTCAGCAGTGTTGCTAGGGTATTCCTTCTTTAAAGTTACTCGAAACCAACCAGCTTCATAGTTGAAAGCGGACAAACGATGCCAGTGGCTAACTTCATACTCAAGTTCAGCACAAGTTATCACAATGCCAAAATTATGCACAGTAAACAGTTTTGTCAGTTATCAATCATTAAGTAAGGCATGTTCGTGATGCAGATAGATGAATGAGTATCATCTGTGCGTGTCTGTGTATGCTTTTGAGCGGAATGTACACCCTTACAGTATGCAACAGATTCCACATATAGGCAGTAACAATAAATCCATCACAAAAACTGGTTCACTGTGTATACCATAGTATTGGTATGCCAGCTTATAAAAAATCAGGTTGATACATATACTGGGGTCATGATAATGACAATAAAAGTACTTCATCAATTTCTATATTACATCGTTATAATAGGATGGTTGTACTATATTTACTAGAGTGGTGAGTGGTTGGTTGAACAGGATATAGTTACTAGGGTTAATTCGCCTTTCTAATCCACCTACGCACACTCAAGTCACACTCCATAATAACCTCATCATTTCTGATAAGTAATAATTGATATACAATGTGACTAGCTGTCAAATTGAATAATACGCGCATTTCCGTTCTTTTTTTGTTCTAGTTTGTTTCATGAATTAATTTAATTAAAACTGATACTGGAAACAGTTTCACAAAGCCATTGTGCACATGTCAGAAAACGTAGAAACGTCTCATCTACAAAGTACATTACTGAATACAACCCAGTAACCGTTATCATACTTGAGAGAAAGGCTAGAAGTCATTACATACGGAGAAAGAGAGTCTCATTATACAGATAGACGGTTAACTGACAGAAGTAGGAAATATGAACTATTGGATGTCGATCTAGTGGCCCTGGGTTCGACCCCTGGCAGAGTCATCGATGAGTACTGCTGAGGTGTTGCATACTGGTACGAAACAGCTATCCAGTGCTCTCAGGTTTCCAGCGTTTCTGAAGCTGATGTCAGTTCATGATGAATGTCAACCTGAGAAGCTGAATATAGTTGGAATACCCCACATGTATCCGCTGAAAGTTGAAGGACACCACCAATGACTTATACAGCTGAAAGATACGGAATTGCTAGAAGTTGATGCTCATTAGACCGAGGTAAATGTAGGAATTTCAACTGAGATGAATGCACATAAATCACCTGTATTATTACCGTTGTGACCAACAGTATCGATAAATTATGTTGTCCATCTTTTATCTAGCCTAGTGAATCATGCCCCAGTGTACACTCCTTTCCCTTCTGTCTTCCTTCCCACAGCCCCTCCCCTGAAATCATCTTCAGACAAAATTATCTGTGTATAATCGATGCTATTCCTCTTGAGACAAGGGGAGGGGGGAAAGGTTTAAATTATATGGTATGTAGTGCCGATCGGTCGACCTTCATCGTCTATAACCTTAAACAATCTCAAAGTGCCATAAATTAACCGGTAACTTTCAAAATTAGAAAACGTTACATTATCTTAACCATTTATTTGCTCTGTCTGTCTGTATTTCACTTATCGCCAACAGGCGAACACAATTTTTAACAGCTGGCTGACAGACTTTAATTGAAAATAAAAAGTTTTCACATCCTATAAGTAACATGTTTTTCATCATTTATGTTAGCGTGAAAACGGAGGCGAGGCGGAGGGGAGCATTGATTACTTTTGTCCTTTTGTCCAGTAGAATCGTTTATACTACACCAATGAAATTTATTGCATACAACAAAGGATTGATTTAAAGCTTATCATGTCAACAGTGTAAAGGTGATATGAACGTGTCAAGAGCGTTACTTGAGGGCCCATGTTAATCACTCTCCCCCGGGTTTCTCAGGCCAAAGTCACACAGACGGGGTTGAAACCTGCGACCTATAGCTTGAAAGTCGACTTCCTAAGCCAAGTGGTTAGTTTTTATTTGTCCCCAAGTTATCTTCAGATAGTCTGAAAGACTTCACATGGTATAGACCCCTAGCTGTTGCGTAACACTGTCGATAAGTGAAGATGTAAACAAATTACAGTGGAGCAGTGCTTACCAGAGACTTGTAGAAATAACGGCATCAAGCGTTCAGTGAACAATGGTACTGGTAGACGTATGAGTATTGACTTCAGAGCACCGGCTAAATCATGAAAACTGTATTTATCCCATTGAAATGTTTTTGAATCGAATGATGTCTGTAGAATAGCCTCTTGCAATTGACGTTTACGTATTGTATGTCCAGATTTACGGAACAGACCTTCAACACAACAAGCTATAAAAAGAAAAATACGGGGTAATAAAGAAAACAGTAGGAGAAATAAAAACAGTCTGGAAATAATGGAGACTAGGTGAAACTACTGCCTGGGTGGAGGGAGACTAATCTTTACGCTACCTTAAACTTCTTTCAAGCATTACTTACGGGAACCTTAAAGGACGAAACAGCAGTAGACATCTTCAAAGTGGAGTACTTGACGTATCAACATAGCAAGACGGCCTAGATACTAAATATACACACTAGCTAGCTGACTATAAAACAGGTAGAATGCCCGTTTTATACACACCCACTTCAGCATCTCTTGACATACGTTTACGTCCACTTGAAAATTCCATTGATTTCCTTACTCCCTATTGTTTTGGCACATTACAAGCATTGTTTACACTTCTCAACATAGTGTGTGTATAAATAATAAAACGCACAGCATAATTATAAAATTATTGACACTTGTGATGAGGAATTTGTTTTGGTAGAAAAAAAAAACAATTGTCTACTCTATACCATGGTAACTAGGAGAAAAAGAAGACCGGTCAGAGTTTATATCTAGGAGGGAATGAATTCCCAGTCCACACGAATACCATTAGGTTATCCAAAATCTAAGAGGTTATATATATATATAATTACATTGTCTCCAAAAAGGTAAAAAACGCTGCTGAAGTAAATATACTATTATCGGTTACCATAGTTTCAGAGACGCCAAAACAGCTAAGCAAACTATTCAGTTTGGTGATGGTAGCTTCTATCCGGGGGGCACTGTGGGATATAGAAAACTTCGACATGAATTCTTTACCATGAAGTTTCGGTTATCGTCTATGGTTTCGAGGTCGACTTTGGTGGATTTTTTGCAACAACAGTGCAACTGAGTTAATTCTGACACATCTTTCCGATTTCTTGACCCATATTAAGATAATATACGTAGCTATGCTCCAAGAATTTAATTCTAGTTATGTCTGGACGGCGATTGTAGAATTGGTTCAGCAATCGTTATCGAACGTTCTTTGGGACTACAATTCTGTTGCTAAAAATGATACATGATTCCACAATCGAGTGATTTGCGATGGTTGGATCAATAATTACAGTTAAGTGACAGAATTTGTTATACTAGTTAGTTGTATTCATCATCAAACGCATCACCGAGTGATTGAGTCAATGAAGCATACCATTATAATGTGATAGGTATGCTTCAAGTCGTGACAATAACAAAAACAAGACGGTGAATTGGGTAGTTACCTTCATCATTGTCCAAACGATCAATAAGGCTGATGATATTGTTGGCTAAGCCATCGGGAACACGATCTGATTTCACTGGATCTGGAAGAAGAAGAAGAATAAAGGAGAGCACAAAATAAGAGTTTGTAATACAATAGAATGGAGAAGTTATACAGTTGGGAAAAACATCTCTTCAACGTCTATGTTTGTATGTGTGCACTGAAGGTGACAGAATTCGGGTGTTGGTGCACTTTTAACACATTTGAAAAATGATGACAGTACACACACACACACACAAATATCAGTCAGTTCTTAGTCTGCTTCCAAGCCTTCCACCAAGTGAGTCTACAGCTAAAAGACAGTTAATCATAGGGGGCATAACATTCAAAGGAGATGGGATATTCAAACGAATAGACATAAGAATCAAACGAGTACTGAGGAGAAGCTTTCTTGCAGTCAAACTTCTGTCACTATACTTGCGATAGCAAGTGCATTGGAAGGATCAAGACGAGGGTTATCTATTCAGTTCGCTGAGCATATCCCAAATAATCTGTGCTTCAAAGGAAGTAAAACTCTAATTAGTACAATCCCCAGACACCGTAGACATAGGATATCAGGTTGAAACCTTGAGTGTTTTTAAAGTAACAAACGTACATGGAAATGTCTGGATTACTGCACTTCACTGAAACGATTGTAATAGGGGAAGTGTGTGATCTCCTTTCTTACATTCTGTTTTCAATGTACAATTCATTCTCTCGTATGTTATATTGATACTCAATGATTTTGGGTTGGTATTCATCAAGGACTGATATCATTTGGAGAACTATTGGAAGCCTGGGAGCACTGGACGTCTGTTTCGTCCTACTGCGGGACTTCTCGGTGGTGTGCACCCATGAACCACCTCTCCAGGGATAGAACACTTGACCCTCAGGTTCCACAGCCACCATGTTATCTCTAAGGCACTGAGTCAGAGTTCGGTGGTCTCCTTTCTGTCAGCTGGCGATATAGCGCGACCTCCATGGAATGCTGTTGTTGAGTAGATGTCCTCATGTTCCACTTGATTGTCCCGATAGGTCACTAATTCCCATTAGGAAATGAAGAAATCTCATCTCGAAATAAGTCACTAATGAGCACAATAAATGAATACCCACATGATATTGTTGTAAGACTATGCGATACTGCTTCTCATTGTTTGATTGCGGTGACAAACAGTCCTATTGTGTAGTCAAATGAACGCGCTTAAGTGGAAATTAATCCTTTCAATGTTGTTCGTGTGTATTATTTGGATTTTCCTATCGTGCCAGATTAGCAAACACTCATCTCACCTCGCTAGTCTGCCTCTCCGTACATGCCTGAAACCACCACTCAAAGACTTCATGCAGTGATATCATGTCTAAGTGTGACTGCTCTCATCCATTTGCCAGCCTGAACCTATTCTAGTCAACAGTGCGCAGTGAGGTAGACGGTACATTCGACCCTTAATCGACAACATGATATCACAGTGGAGCCATAGATGGTGTAATGTGGTGAATTGAGCCAATCGAGGTTTTTCTATCCGTGCAGAGATTTCGCCCACCACTGACCCATTTATACATATAACTACAGTGCATCCGATTGAAGGTGAAAGGTGATGGGAATGTTGACTTGCATGATCCTCAGATATGATTGATTGAATGAATGACTGCTGAAATGGTTGTTTGAGCAACAAGTCGATTGATCGATGGGATTGATCATTAGTTGCATTCATATTTGAACAAGGAAATGTACTTAAACGAGACAGTAAAACAAAATGATAATATATGTGAGCTTAATTTACGATGGATTAGTGTTGAAGAGGAACACCATCTGGCTGGTTTATTTATCTGGGTAGGTGGGGGCGAACGACTGTGAAACGATTGCAGCTGACACATGATAGTGTGTGTGAGTAGACAATACCTGTAATAGGAATGATTTAATTGGCATTCAGAGACAGTACCAGATGTTGTGTTCATTTGCAGTTTGTTTATCTAATCATGAGAAATGTTATATATTTCACATGTTTCTACTTTTACATAGAACAATACGATAAACAAGCCAAGGTTATTTTAAGCAGTACACAATCTGGAGTGGAGAACGGATAGATTAGTCATCTTTGAGCGATAAGTTAAGTGGAGAACAATGAGAGAGAGTTGAAAAGTATTACTGAATGAACTTTCTCCTATCATGTTGATCAGTTGAACAGGTTGCTTGAGAATCCATTAGGAAACTGACCAATTCAAGTCTCCTAGGCGCAAAACAGATTGGACAAATAGAAGTGAAGCGCGGTGGTACCCTAGCTGACTACAACACTACTGAGTAATGCACGTGGGTTCGAACCACAGGTAGGGCTTTCTATCGGTTGCCTCCAATCAACACCTTGATTCCGTTCACATACTACCTAGGATTTTGTAATTTTGGTCACCATACACTGATGTTCCTATAAGTTAGGTTGATCAGTTCACCGATTTAATGATCCTATTGCTAATCCAAATGGATTACATTCGAATTTCATCAAGATTTCAAGGGTATCATTATCATTATCGTTATCCCTAAATGATTCATGAGTTTAACGTTTTTGCCGAAGTTAACTTTTCTATCTGAACAAAACTATTGTTTGACAAATAAACGTCAACAAACTTCGATGGACTATATTCATTACGTAATAACTTTTTTCCCACCTAGTATCGTAAAAAAAAGGAAATAGACCTGTTTTATGTTGTTTATTCTATGATGGATTAGTGTAGCGGTGACATAACTAATCGAACTGATCACTACATAATAAATCAAAGAATGAAAGTTGAAGTGTTGCGAAGATCATGAGGACAGTTTTTAACAGTGTTTGTGTGTGTACATTCTTACGTAATCGGTTAGACAGACACCACGGGACTGGTTTTTTAAACAATTTTGTGTAGGTCATGTGCATGGTTTTTCAATAACTTCATGTCAATTCAATTAAACAAAAGATGAGATGACTGATTACTGATCAGAATAACTTTAAACACACCCACAGACGCACTGGTTATGTCTATAAACAAAAAAGTATTGGGGTGATGAAAACACCATTACTAATGGTTAATTGAAGTCAAGTGTGAAAAAGAAATCACTTCATGATTATATCATTGTTCCATTATTTTTTGACTTATTTTCGGATGGTGGTGGAGGAAATGATAAACTATCTGAATTTATTCAAAATCTGTCAACACTGTATGTCCTTGAGATATGTAAAGAATTGAAAGTAATTCAGCGAGCAAATTACCACGTACAAGTGTCAAAATCCCACGTGAGTATTGACATAATCCATTCATCCGGTATGAAGTAATTTGTAAACATCAATTAATAATTGAACGAGTAGTCAATTGATTTTGGGTAAAAAGGAATAGTTAGGAACCACTCTCTCAATCCGATTTATACTTCTCGTTAGACAGGCGTTTCGTTCGTTCTAGATTCACCCAGTTCATCATCGAAAAATTCACCTCCCAGAGCCTGAATCTATCCGACATGAATGTGTTATGCATTACACCTCTCAGTATAATTCAAAGTATTCACTGATCAGTTTCAAGAAAGTGTAAAAAATGAACTGCACATGTAAAACAAGATAAGGGATTCCATATGACTGCATGCCTCAGTCAACTAAGTGTACATGGGTATGCAATGTCCACAAAGAAACTGGCGTACAACGAAGCAATCTGGATGACGGTTGATGTAAAGACATGTACTCCTTCGTTTCTGTCGGCTGCTGCCTTACATCAATTTGAAGTGTAATGACTTGAATTGTGATTGGAACCTGTTGGTTGCGCCTCTTTTCTAAGATTTCCAAGGGATCCAAACTACATGACAGGTAATGAGCATACCAGAAGGTGATGCTGCTGTCCAGATATCAGTGACTGAAGTCGGGTAAAGAAATGTTCACGTGGTTTCCTACCTCCCTATTCAAACACCTGAGCTGGGATGGTGCCAAATACCCGGTCTGGGTTATCCCACTTCATACTCGTCACTCAGCCAGTACTATGCCTCCTCCTATCATGGTTAGACGGTGGTTCACAGACATTTCAGGTCACTCTGCCTGTGATTAGCCGACAATTGACCAGGTTCATGAGTCAGTTGGAAATCGTCACACAGCCAGTAGGAAATGACACTAACTTCATCGCATCGAGTGTTGGGTTGCTTCACTGAATCATGTAAAGCTTCTTCACGTTGACGCAATGAATGATAACCAAGGCAAGGTATTTGACTACCTAGAGGGTGAGTCATAGTCGCTTCCGTATCTCAACTAACTCTCTACTTACATCAATCATACACCACATACACAAATTCCTTCTTTGTCAGTTTTTATATTTAGGAGAATATTCTAGCAGAAGCTGCGTGTGTGTAAGGGCATATACCCAATAAAAAACCAGATGGTTGGTAGTGATAGACCTTATACTAATCCATTTGTCAAATATACTTTCTTTCAAAGTTACATATACATACATTATATCCTATGTTGTTCTTTCTCTTTTCTATTCGCTTTCTTCCAATTTACTGTTTTCATTTATATACCTATTCCGCTACACAGTATCTACAAGATAGTTTCCATTATAAATTCTCTTTGTTTGTAGTTCATAGTGAAGTTGGACACACTCATTTATTTATGCGTCTTGGTTGCAGTTTTGTTTATGAATATAGAGTGGTTCTTCCTGTCGCCCACCCTCCTTTCATATTCATTAACAAACTAGACATGCATACATTAGGTACCAGTACCACTTATTGTGTTAAGTGGTAATGGACGTCGGTGATAGCGTACGCTAAAGACGTACAGCAAAGAAATTCCGAAGAAAGTTAATTAAATTTTCCTGTCTTTGTCAACTAACAAAATAGTTTGACAATTTAACTAATCAACTATGAAGAACAATGTGGAAACGAAGAAACATATCTAGCTGAGAGAATTAGTTAACTTGTCACATTAAACATAGAAACATGAGGTTCCATTGTTTACAGTAGTATATGTGTATTCCTCACCACCCCCCCCCACGCTTTTGTATCTCTCTTAGTCTATATCACTTAAAGGAGATTGTATAGAATATCATTGTTAAAATATGTGCAAAAGAAACCAAGTGTACTACAACAACAACGACGACGACAACAACAACAACATGCAGACCATAAACTATCGGCTCACTCACCCTTCCACAAAGATGGATACAAAACGCATACGCCTTATTGAGAATGCAAAATAAATGTTTATAAAAGTTTCTGCAGACAAAAAAAAAATTTGTTTTGGCAAAGCCTGAATAAAACATGACTACTATGACATAGAGTTGCTTGTCTTATTTTTCTCATGGGTATGAGTTCGAGTCCCGACGTATAAAATGGTTTGTTTTAATGATTAGTTATCATATATGCAAATATAAGATTTAGCTGATGAAAGTATGACCCATACAGTATGTCAAACTATCAGACTGGAAAGTCTACAGGCTTTTACCACGCGTTTGTCCACATCAATATCGTATCAAACATGGATTCTTAAAACAGAAATAGTAAAGGTTTAGAATAAGTCAAATAGTGAATAAATATGCGCCATTTCATCAAGAGATCATAACTACCGATTTATTTGGTTTCAGGGACCCCTTCCAGATAGTGTACACCTCAGTACACTACTCAAACAAACAGTCAAGGACTTCATGAACCGGTGCCACGTCTTGAACTAGCCGCACTGAATCCTCTTTCAACCTTATCCAACTTTCCCAACCATTGCATATCGAGAAAGGTGGTGGGTTCGGCACGCGCGGTGCATACATAAGCCACCTCAATCGATAAAAATTCTCTAGTCACAGAAAAAAAAATTAGCCAGGTAACTGCCTATTGGTGTTCTATGTGGAGAAGCGAACAAAGTATGAACTCAGTATTCATCACGTTACCGCGACTAGATAAGCACCAATTATTCTATTAATAAGGAGGGGTGATGAACCGAAAACATTATCACATTTAGATGGTTCTACACTGCCCTACAGTCGGTACATACAAACAGTTAACACAAAGAAGAGAATACTGCAAGTTTATATACATAATCTGTGTCGCTGGTGAGGTACCCGACTATCTCAAAGAACGAGTCCGTTCTATCCTGTCATACAGCTGTGAGACACGGCCATGAATAGAAGATCTGAACATGTTACAGGGTTTCGATAACATGTGTCTTCGTACCATTGCTTGCATGTGGTGGGATCATCGTATGAGCAATGTTGAGGTCAGGGAAATGGTACTATGCAAAACAAGCAAGCTGGTTAGTGAGATTGTAGACCTTAGTCGAAGGAAATGGATTGAGCATGTACTCCACATGCCAAAGAATCACATACTTCAATATACCATGCTAGATGGAGTTGAATTAGGTTATAAGAGAGGTAAAAGTGGTCACAACAACACATGAGACCGGTTCATGAATTCTCTGAGTGTTGGTCTGACCCATGTGTGGTGATGTAGACTACTTGGTTGGGGTGGTGGGATGGATGTGAAATCTTGGTAACATGGCTGAAAACCCGCTCTCTTAGACATGAATATGATAAGCATGAATAAGTTAACAGCCCCGATATAATAATACACTACATTACAGCAATAATAATATGGATAATACTTACGGGAACTCAGCCGCCAATTAATCCATAATCGTTTCAGCATAGCCTTAGTAGCTCCACCAACATTGCTGGCACTAATGAAAGGAGTGAATGCGTTTGTACTTGTAGTAGTACCGGTGACAGTTGTTGGTGTGGAAGTATTGACAGTAGTATTATTACTACCAGCACTACTACTACTACTACTACTTGTGGTAATATTAGTAGTACTTACACTGTAATTATTTGTGCACAATGTTGTCGCCTTCTGATCAATAAAATTCCATGGTATATCAATTAAAAAAGATAAATGTATCATGCATAATTCTTGAAAACGATGAGGATAATATTCTCGAAATAACTTCACAGTCCAATCTTCTGGTATAGCATATCTTAAACGATGAGCATAATCTTTAATTGTCGACTGTAACGGTGGGCACAGTGTTGTAAGAATACTGTCAACAGTTGCCATTTTATTTATGACACAATTATGTTTATGCTGTTTTAATAATATTGTCCTTTTGATTGATTAATTACAGTATTGTCAAGACTGAGTTATAACTATTGATTCAATTTGATCAATACTATTGGTAGTTTAGAAAATCCCTTCAAGAAATATTATCCTTTGCTGCACAGGGCTAACTAACGTCTTAGTAATTTTAATGTAATAGTAGTTCTTATTATACGTAGCAATATATATATATATATATATATATATATCGCGTTTATGGCTTGTTTATTTAACTCATCCAAAGGTGGATGCGGTGTATGTGTGAATACAACGAAATAGTGTATTCTGATTGGCTATAGGTATTTAAGCCTATCCATTAGGAAAATGCGTAGGTTGTCTAGATTCACGCGATTGGAGGATTTGAAAATTAGATTGGGCGTATGTTTAGGTTAGCTGCATATACTATTGCTGAGGAAAAGTCTACACCATATGTTTTAGAGATGCTGGGATTTCTCAGAAGCAATGCTGTGATATTCGGTGCAGCAGTTGGGCTTAAATTCTGGTAAGTACACAGTTGTGGGACTCACAGGGACATACTTCATAGGCATTTAAACATATTTCGACAAATCTGTGGACAGATTATGCCCGACGTAGAAGTGTATGTTGTAATAGTTATCTACCTGGGTTAATTGATTTTTCGTTAAATGTTTTCTAACGGAAACCGTGTTGACACCACAGCTGGGCAGGTAAAGAAAACTACTCTACAGTAAGAAATGCCCCGCTGAACTGTGCAGTTTGTAAATTATTTGTAAAGTGATCAAGCTATTTTAGGTGTATCGGCCGGTGGATTGAAGTCAGCTAACTAGCCAGATATATTCAGGTGAGGCTTAGTAATTAGGCTGTGGAAGATGAATCTGTCCGGGTACACTGGTGATGAACTGGCCCGGCCCCGAACGAGCGGAACGCCAATGTGTTGTTAAGATCTGGCTGTCTGGCTAGATCTACAGGATGCATAGTGGCTAACAGTAGAATTCAAGATGCTCATTTCGCACTATTTATGAACTCATCAGCCGAATGTACCTTTCTCCCAGTGAGTGGTGGTATTCCCCTGTAAGACATTGGAAATCTTTCCATGAAATCTTACTTATATAGGATTCATCCCATCATCAAAGTAACCAATTCCGTGTTGTCGAGTACGGACTAACTGACCAGAGTCGATCAACTTTTCAATACATAACAACTGACCGAAAAGTACGCCCTTCTACGTGGTTTGTGATTAATGCACAATAAACTTATTATTGGTCAGATAGCATGGGATATGATTTTTCGTCCTAATCTGAAACTATGCAACACAGTATACTAATGAACTCCACACGTGAACAAGTCCAAACTCGTCGGAACTCATGGCAAGTATGTCACTATTCAGTCATTAACTTACAATCCAATAGTGGCCACTTATTTCTGAATCCTGGTCAGCGATCAGTTGGGTCTCGCAACTCAGCTGGTAGAGCACAGCCCGGTTCGAATCCTGAGATCAGTCAAATTTTTCCGAAATTTTTAATCATTCAGGATCAGTAATGCAAGTCTGTCGAACCACGGCTATCTCAGATAGTCACTGGGTTATCTGTGCTCGTAATCTATTTCATTGAGATGGAATGCAGCAGTAACTAAACGTGCTATACTTGAAACATATGCGAGACTACACTCTTCTTTAATACCCATTGATGCGTGAATCATTCCCTCTCAGTAGGGATTATTGCTGTAACTTTAAGAAGGTGAAATAGACAAGAATGTCGAAAATTAGTTCACATAAGATATCACACACATCTGTTGTGTGTGTCTGTGTGGATTAATGTGTATGACGTAATAAATTGGGTAATAGATCTGTTTCAAGCGGATGAAGAGAGAGAAGTAGAGAGAGCCAAGATTGGGAAACTTTATCCGACCCTCCTCTCTCCTTCCCTTGCACACATACACACAAAGGTAAAAGTTACTTTGTTCCGCTTATCAGATTTCAATCAGGCTTACTTAATCTGTAATGAGATGAATTTATAGTATGAAGTCAAGACGAGAACTGCGTTATATGTACACAGAGAGTTATGAAGATTGGTACTAACTCATTTTCCATTAAAATAACCCACACCTGTTACATATGTCCCCATAATATTTATTCAGTACAAACCGTTCGAATGCTATGTAGACTGATTTTCTAACATGATAATATTTGCAAATGGTTTAGTTAATTTGAGGTTTATGGGGATTTCGTTTTTGAGGTGATGGCATTCACTACGCGATTCGAAGGTCTGGAGTTCGATTTCTAGTGTGTGTGTGTGTGTGTATGGGGGGAGTTGTAGGTACCTACTCATACTAGGAAGAAAGAGCTGTCTACTATTTCCATCTGCTACACTGATTGGCCACTGAAGAGTAATCAACTTCATGTCGTCTAGTCCTGACTGTAGATCATTTTGTAATGTGGCCACCAGGCTGGGGAACTCATCATGGCGGTGGACTTTGATTCATGTTAGTTGGTTGCAGTCGGGAGGTAGCCTTCTCTGATTTGGGCACTTGTCAGCAAAACGTATCTGCAAGCTAGGGGGATGTTGGAAGCCACATCACTCGGCTCTGAAGTCAGAAACGTTTCACTCAACTATTTGGGCCATTGTTGGACGGGCTTACATGAATCGGTTAATTACTGGAGAGCAACACTAGATGATGTGGATATGAATCTCACACGGAACATGAGTTCCAACAAGTACGAAACCAAGGTTAAACTGGCCTTCCTTTCGATTTCCTCCAACTGTTTAGAAAAGCATAATTTATAAATAGCGCAATTTCCTGTAGTATTACCAATTAAAGGCTGAACATCAGTGTGCAGATGATCCAGGGATTGAAGAATTCTTCATTTTCACCTAAAAATACCCCTTTTTGTCAACATCCTGTCACGGAAAAGCGTCATGATTATAATCCTTAAAGCACGATGATAACTATGTAACAGTCTGTGCGCTTAACAAGTGAGCAGTTACTAAAGTGACGAGTACGGTCATGTGATTATCACTCATAAGTCGTTTGTCAAACCGAGGATGGCAACTAGCACTGCTGTCCACATACACACACACACACATTATTTCACAACTCTTCATGTGACGCTTTTACGTGTGTTCAGACGTACATGACGTCAACATGTCATCATAAAATATGATAGCCACTTACCAACAATATATGATGTAATCGGTATTAAATCAGATGAGTTTACCCACAGTTCATAAGCTCTTTTAATGAAACACTGAACTCTACTCCCTCCCTCACCTCCTCCTCCCCCCATGAGATTCACATTCATCTGTAACTTGGATCAATATAAAATGTAGTCGTGACATGAAAGACTCCTTGTCTGTTTGTCTGTTTCTCTCTCCCTGGATTTTCATGATGAGTCGGTGTGTATTGAAATCCACTCAGTAACTTTGCACGGATTTGTGCAGTAGGCAGTAAGTTACAACTAGTATGTAAGGACTACCGAAACCTGGATAGATAGAGTGGAGTTCGAACACATGTATGGTTTGATAGCTAAGTTATACAGCTTATAGAAATTCCTAACAAGGTGATTTGTCTGATATACCTCTGGAAGTTAGTTTTCAGTCATAGTTTGCTTAGCCAGGTGCTAAACTGTTCGACTTTAAAATTACCCGATGGGCACTGAAGTATCTGAAGGAACATGCGATTCCTTTTAGATGTTATGGCTTCTAATTTCCCGTCGTTGATTGAACCAAATTGATCTGCCATCATTGACAGACGGGCTCTTGTTTGATACTGTCGGTACTTTCAGTTTCATAGTCATGGTAACAGAAACACGTGTACCAATAATGCCCCATCATTTCGATCCAGTCAACGACGGAGATTTACGAGTTGTTGCACTAAAACTATACTATGTCTGTCATACAAAAAGTGGGTAACACTCCGGCGTTTGAAGTCACCGGTCACGGGCTTGGTCCCGGTAGGAAAGGTAGTTATGTTAGGCTAATGAATGACAAATAGGTCGCAATATGCGTCATGGATTGCAGTGCTGGCCACTACTCATCTTAATACCTAAGAGGAGATTTCTTCAGCTTGTCTGATAAACACCAAACAGAAGCGGTTTTTCACTGGTTAACTACTAACGTTTAACAAGATATCATTGAGACGTTGGTTATTGTCAAGTAAAGATTGTGTTTTTTTCAGATGGAACTTCAACCGGCTTTACTTTCTAATTCACTGTGCATTTTTTTCGTTACCAAACATCTGAAGAGTATCATTTGAATGAATACAACTGGTATTTGAGCATTCGTCTTCTAACAAAACCCAGGTAGGGGTTAGCAGACAGAAGACCGCTGAATTGAGTCCCTTTGCCACCCAGCTCTTCACTCTACTTTAAATCACCAAGCTGTATCGAAAGTTAGCAAGCTAATCACTGATGGCATCGAGTGGATGAAATATGAAACGAACCCATAGCACCTATTACTAGTCTGAATAATCGACCGTCCATAGTTCTGATTAACTTTGGTCACAATTTGACCGAAAACAGTTTCACAAATATTCAGTACCAAGTGTTGGCAGTAAACACGACCTTTATGCAAAGTAAAACATGCTGTTTCTAACATTCAGCTGTTTAGCATGGAGGAGAATAGGTAACTCCTCTGTAGTCGAAGTGATTTTCATGGTGCCATACAGATAAACATTTCTTCAAACTGTGATGGTTTTCACAAACACCTTAAATCCGAGTTATGCTATACCAACTCATATCTTCAAAAGGGATCTTCGGTTTTGTTTGAACGGCTGTGTGAAGGTTTAGAAGACTTGTCAAAGTTTGTTGACGAGGATCGCCTCTAGAAGGCCGTGTATGTAAGTGTGTCTGTCTGTCTGCCTGTCTGCGCAAGTGAGTATCCAGTCTCACCTCGAAGGGAATTAACCACAACTAGCCTGAATATATTCAACCCGGTTTCTCCCCTGACTGCAACCATCCACATGATTATCCACAGAGGCTGGTTGAG